GAAACAAACCATGCCTCTGCAGATTCGCCGCCGGTGCGATTATCTCATGCCTGCACTTCTTTTCGTACTTCCTAATCTAAATTCACCAGAGGACAATTGAAATCAGAGAGGGTATTCTTGAGTGACGTGCATCCAGAATCAGTCATGTCGATTCTTTCACCAAGCGTAATTATAGAAATTTCTACTAATTGTCTACTTGTGTGACGAACATCCAGGAAATGCCTGGACGATGACGACCAAGATGCTATTTTCATATAAAGAGCTTCCTTTCAACAAGGTTTGGCCGACCATGACTCGAAAATATAAACGTTATAAGTTATCTTCTAAGTCGTTAATTAAAATTAAGGCAAAATTTTTGAATTATTTGTTTGTTTGAATATTCGAGGTATCAAGACTCCTCAATATAGCTTTCCTTCTCTACTAAATACTGATTGATGTATCCATTAAAAGGAATGGAATTTGATCGTTAGCATTTGCAGCAGGTAACACAGCTCAAACGTTGAGCAAGTCTTTGACCTCACTTTTCGTTTCTAGGAAACATTATGTGTTCTTTTGAGACCTTACCGTGGTACACGACTACAGAGATATTTCTTGAGTATTAAAACGCAGCTAAGTTTACTTGTTTCGATCATTAATTTTCCAGGACATGCATCGGATTATCTTTAAAGTTTTTCTCTCCTAACTATTTTGGATCACCCTAGCCGACTTCTATATGCATTTTTATAATTTAATTTGTAAGTCACGACTTCTTTTTTTAAATAATTTTAGAGATCGCACCAACAGAAACCAAACTGGTAGAAATTAGATTTACACTTTGAAGCTGCGCGTTCGTACCTAAAACTCGGCAAATTTTTCGCGTAGTTGAGCGCACAACTGCGAGATTCTTAAGTTCATTACGGCGGGTTTCTCGTCGTTCGCGTAGCTCATGCATTTTTTTCGTCCGATAAAGCATTTTTTGGGGGACCAAGTCAGCGAAACAATGCCTGCACAGCGCCTCCGACCGCATGTCGTCGTCTGGTCTACAGAGATAGGAAAAGCCCGCGACTATTGCATCAAACTGTCGGCTGCTGAAGTATTGATGAATGGCTACTCTCGCCTGAGTCTGCTAAAATCATTGTGTGCGAGACCGCTGCTTCTGAGAGTAAGCAATACTGATTTCCGTAAACTGTCTTCGGTTCTTAGTAAACATTTTAGAGCTCTGCAATACTCTTTCTTTTCCTCAAACGTTCATGGTATTGTAAAATCATGCTAGAGAGCCACACATGTGATAGTTTTCTATAAAAATGTCGTTTGTTGGAGATCTGCAAAAATCTACTGTTGGCAGCTTGTCGTTCGGTAGGAAGGCACTCAATAGCTCGGCTCTTCATTCAAAGTAAAAACTATGATATAATTGTTTTTATTATATCTTAGATCGTATCAGCTGCGAGTGTGCTCGACAACACTTATATTGCTGGAGAACTATTTCACGTTCAATCTATCATGTTTGCTGGGCGAATCAAAGCTAACAAACGACATTTTAATCAGTATGAGGATCAAACAACTTGAAGATCTCAGAATCTATTTGCACGAAATCCACTTATCGCCGCACGTTGTCTTCTTGAATAATGCATTCCTTTTAGAAATTTATAGATAAACCATGATCAAAGATCTTTCGAAAGATCGCCTCATCTCTGTAAAGAACTGATGGAGAACATAATCTAGCATGTCATATACGAGTCCATCCTAAAATTTTATTGCGTCGTATACCTTTTAAAAATCAAAAATGTTACCAATTGTGTGTCTACTGGTACTCATAGCTCAAATTATTCAGTAATATCGTTAGTCTGAATACAAATTGAATTTCTCATTTAGAATTCCGTCTGCGTTGTACCATCATCCTTCATCCAACAGACAACCATTTTATAATCTGTGAGAATCTCAAATGTCAAAAGTCAGAGTGAAATCTAAGCACCAACGCAATCTCATACTAGGCTGGTCGCCTAAGCAAGTTTTCACTAGACATCCGCTGCCGAATGTTACCAGCTGCATTTCGCACCGAACTTCGCCGCCTGGCGAAAGTTCGTTATTAACGTACCGTTTTAGCCCTTTTTAAGAGTGCATTTAATGAATGAGTTATTTTAATCGGTTTAAATCGCTGCTGCAGAGGCAATAGAACGAAATAAGTAACGATGGTTTGCATTTTTATGCGCCATGCAAGCAATTTCTGTACTCCATTTGTATTCTCTCAATTTTTATGTTTCGTCTTGTAGCTGTTGTATGTATCTAATTTTTTTAATAATTTGCATTACCGTACATTTGTAGATAATTATTTTTTACCTTAAGATCCCTCCAGGTAACACATAAATAAGTTCGTTTAGGGTCACAGACTCAAGGTCATGCTGCAAGCACCACCTTTTTGACGGCGATCATGCGCCGTCCACCAGCTACACCTAGAAATAAATTGAGCTTCCCGAGGCTCGAATCTCCGCCTAGCTCCTCTCATCTTGATGCCGCCTTCACTGCGCTACAGTGGCGCATTGTAGGAACAGTACAAAGATGTGCGATTTTGTTTTCAAGTGAAAACTTTGGTTAATGGACCTATTTCATCTCAAAATGTGTAAAATTTTTCGTGAATCGATGTAAATGTTTGTGGTTACATTGAGAATGTGATGGAGGGTGCACAATTACATCTCGTAATACAAAAATCTGAAGCTAACTAAGCCAAATTACTACTTTTTCGTGGAAGCACATAAGATGTGATTCATATCGACCAGATTCGTTGATTTGATATTATGTTATCTATTTTAGTCTAATTTAAAACTAAGAGATATAAACAGTGCTATTTGTTCGGTTCACGACTTGAGATAACATTTTAATCAGAGCTCCACAGCATTTTTTTATAATTTTTTAAAATTATTCAAAATTTCTTAATATAGTACTTGGAACATCGACGTTAAATTATTGGAAGAGCTGTCAGAACAGGAAACAATCAAGTTTAAAACGGGTTTATCGAATGCGGTGTCACAATTTCATGTTAGTTTTATAGGAGGGCGGAAATGAACACGGACGGGAAGCGAAAGAATCTGAACGTACGCATGTACAGGCACGATTTTTGACGACCTTCCTAAATATGTGACATTTGCGTGAACACGAACGTACGCCTTGCTGGCGCGCTGTGTGGGGTTGTTCTGCTACATTGTAAATCCCCTTCAGAAATTTCCGTCTGGTAAATATCAAGCCTGAAACTAGTTTCTGTACGATGTCTGCACACGCAATAAAGGCTGGTGAACACGCTGTTTAAATGTGAAGTTTGACTGTATTAATGTAATGTTTCATGGAGTTGAATTTTTTTTTCAATATTAGACCAATTATATAATAGAATAGAGATTCAAGTTTCAATAAGTTAAAAAATTGTTTTTTCAATTTAAGACCAATTATATAATAGAATTTTCAAGTCATAGAGTGAGATATCTTACTTTATATATACGTATAGAGGCTCTCTAAATGTCCTTGCTCTACGAATGCCCCAGGCGTTGTTAGCTCGTACCTGACACCTTGATTACTTTTCACTGCCCGCTGCCCTTTTCATGTCATTAGTGACCTAATTAATTAAAAAGTATTTATGTGTGACCTTTTGTTATATATAAATACTTATTTTTTACACGTAAATAATTATTAAACATAATACTTAAAAACTTTGTTACTCATAATATTAATAAATACATAAATACCTTCTTGTTTATGTGTGGCCAAGTTTTGGTACGTGATACAATGAACGTTCTCGTTCACATGAAATTTATATAGGCTTATATGCTCAAGGAATATATTTAGGGAGAAGTGGGGCTGACTTCGAGAGGAAGCATTGGAAACACTGCAGATAAATTACCATATTACGCCCTTTTTTATTTGATGTGTGTGGCTTACTTCGCTCTAGATGTTAATTTGAATGGAGTTACGTATAAAGTCTATGATTGGTAGACTCAAAAAAATAATCTGCTAAAAATTTTGGATCTTTGGTACCTATTATTTGAAAATGAGCTTGCCCTGAGAGTTGCGTAATTCGAATTCTATATGTATAACATATTATATGGTTCAATCCAGTACTATATGAAATAAATGTCTCCTCATGATGTACACTACAGGCGGTAGTACACATAAATATTTTGAGATTATTTAGTTACTTTACCTATTTCACAATAACCGAGAGCAATTCTGCAATATCTCACGTTTACAATCTTTTCTTTAGTGCGCAATTCAGTTCTTCGTACTTCGCGTGCTACTCGCAGCGGCAAAGAGAGTCACGTATTCTATGGTGACTAACAACATTCAAACATCGGACCCTGGGAACCAGGATCAAGATTTCCGTCGACCACCCGCTGAGCGGCAGTGGAGTAGTCTAAGTGGCCTTCATGCTCCTATATACTCCTATTATTGAAAAAACTCAATTGTAACTCAATTGTTTAAGTTCGACCTTCGAAAATACGGGATATGGTCGATTGATTCATTTCAACCAACAGCGAGAGAAATGTCACCATTAATTGTGATTTTATTCTAAATCGAAATAATGATGAAATGTTTCACCAGTTGAAAATACATATTTTTTCACGTCATCACTTGATTATAAGATTGTTCGTAAAATGATAAAAATTTCTCCTCGGTATCGATGTTTGCATTTTAATGAATTATGCATTGGAAATGAACGTTTGTGTCTACATTTAAAAGGACACATCTGCTGAGTGTTAAAGTATGTACTATTATACATGTATATATTTATTTCGGTCCATCCCACAAACGGTAATCAAATTCTATTTTTAGTGTCGAGTATATAATATTTATTGTGTCAAAAATTATTGTATCATTGAATATTATTGTTAAAACTACGTGAAATAGCAGGAAATGGATTTCACCTTTTTATGCTAATGAGGGTGTTATTTTTTTGTGCAGAAATGTTGATTGTGCAGAAATGCGCAGAGCGACTGATATGTAAAATATATGATTAATTTAGGTCCTATATTAAGTGCGCCCCAAAATGTGCTTGGCCGGAACAGTTGTTTCTATCGGCTTCAGCATTACCTTCACTTCGTAGGCTGTAGAAGGATAGTTCCAGTCTAGAAGTGCTTTACCAGGAATAGAAAGACAAATACTACTTATTTACTACACTCGAGTCCGCCCTCGAGTGTCGAAATATTTTTCAACGATGGACCACGCATTGAGCGAAGGTAGACTACTACCTTCGAATTTCAGGTAGTACTCTACCGTGAGTATTGAAAATAGCTCACATTTCCTTTAGTTACTCCACACTGAGCCCCAAAAGTACTGCCATTTTAAGTACATTCTACTTGAGCACACACATTATTTTTCCTCTCCGAAAACTGCCCCAGCATGAGGTTGGTGACGCTCACACGGCGCAAAGGCCAGACGTACGGCTTCCACCTGCGAGGTGGAAATGAGCATGGCACAGGCTTCTTCATCATCAGAGTTGAAGAGAACTCCATCGCGCAGAAGGAAGGCATCAAGGTGGGTAACGATTGCTTTAAGGTAGGACTTAGTAATATTATTATTTTATTATTATTGTCAAGCTTATTAATTATTTTTACATTACTCGAAACTAAGTTATTAAGAAACACTCTCACATGCATGTGATTGTTACCGGATGGTAAATGCATGCGGTGGACATTCTTGAATGGGAAACGAAGGTTTGAAAACGAAAAAAGTTAATGAAACTTGCCTGGATATAATTACAAGAGGGTCGGAATTACGAATTAGTAGAGTTTGAAGCACGGCCGGAATTAGTCTCACAAAATGCCAAATTTAGTCACACACAGCATCAGAATATATGGATTTGGTAGGTTTGCATTCTAAAGGCTTTTAAAAAAATATGGCAACAGCTTGTAACGTTTCATTGTTGCTCGTGCGTAGTGCGAACCACACTTTTTACGTTGTTGCCTGTCATTTAATTTATTTGCTAGAAAAATAATTTAATCATAAGCTCACTGGGATATTTTTTCATACTGTCGGCTGTGATTTTTTTTCACCAAAATGGTAAGCAGTTTGTTTGTGAGATTCATGTTTATTGTTCACCTCAGAAGCTTTTTAAAGATTTATTTACGATAAATATTTCGATATTTATTTTTCACCTGTACGTTTGTTTGGCTACATATCAAATACCGAAACTTGTAAAGCTTCATGCAACCACGAATTCGTTTTATCTCAATCCATTGTTAGTAAAGCAATATACGACCATTAGTCGACGTCTGGGAGCTACCGCCATTACCTACGTGCTTCAATTAAGGTGACCTCAACACCACCGAGGTAATGATCCTTGCTGCTCTCGCGCTGCTCCGACCCTGTCGTTGTGTCGGAAAAATAGAATGATTGCACATTTTTTCCCAAGCTTTTCACAGAGCAAGAAAATTGTACCAAAGAATTGGACCATCAAATGTTTCAAATACTGAATGCAATAATGATTTTATTTAGATGAATGCTTTCTTATACTTGTTCATATAACCGAATAATACTCGTGGGACGATATTTGAGTGATTTCTGAATCGAATGTTAATTTGAATTTCCTTTTTATTTCTCGCCTAATATTTAACGAGATAAATAAATCGGCTTAGCTATGTTACTATTGACTATGCTTGCCTATGAAATGATCTTGAATATGAAACTTACTCGTATAAAAACATACCAGCATTAAGCTAAATATTTTTTTGAGTCTTACTTCAATTATGAAATCTTAAATTTTACAATGCTAAGTTGACTCTGCTTGCATATGACATTTTTTTGAAAATGGAACTTACTCGTATAAAAACATAGCATTTACGCTAAACATTTTTGTAGTCATACTTCAATTATGAAATATTAAATCTTACAACGCTAAGTTGACTCTGCTTGCATATGAAACGGTCTTGAAAATGGAACCTACACGTATAAAACATATCAGCATTAAGCTAGAAATTTTTTTAGTCTTACTGCAATTATGAAATCTTAAATCTTACAATGCTAAGTTGACTCTGTTTGCATATGACATTTTTTTTAAAATGGAACTTACTCGCATAAAAACGTAGCATTTACGCTAAACATTTTTGTAGTCTTACTTCAATTATGAAATCTTAAATCTTACAATGCTAAGTTGACTCTGCTTGCATATGACATTTTTTTGAAAATGGAACTTAATCGTATAAAAATATAGCATTTACGCTAAACATTTTTGTAGTCTTACTTCAATTATAAAATCTTAAATCGTACAATGCTAAGTTGACTCTGCTTGCATATGACACGGTCTTGAAAATGGAACCTAAACGTATAAAAATATATCAAGCATTAAGCTAGACATTTTTTTAGTCCTACTTCAATTATGAAATTATAAATCGTACAATTCTTAAGTTATGAACCGGTTGGGAGTACTGGCCGCTCCTGACCTTTGCAGTGTTGATATGTTTCCTGCGTGCCGGGCGCTGCTTCGCTCCGCGCAAAGCGGGGTCACCGCGACATGCAGCACCGCTTTTGCCAGCTCTGTAATTCTTGAACCATAACCGCTGAAACGCACATGCACACAAGAAAAAATCTCGTAGCTGCTTGTGGGTGTTGGTTTTATGATTGCCGCGGTAATTGTTAGCCCACACACAACGGTTGTGAGCTAACAATTGTTGCCCACATTGACAACGAAGAAAAACACTGTCAAACACCTTACTTCGCGGGTACATCATTCTTTTTAACTGTTTCAACAACGATCAGTCTGAGTTTGCATTGTGGATGTAATAATATTTTGTAGACATTCAGAAAATTTATGCCTTGAAATATTTTATTAATTGTTTACATATTTTACTTGTTCGTTGATTATCTACATATAGGGTCTTTGTACCGTTATATGTATAGTGTGCTTACCCAGAATCTACACAAAAGTATATATACTAAAAGTTATCACCACTTCATGTAGTTATGTTAACAAATGTCAGAACATACAGATACATGAAATGCAATTATTAAAGTAGTCGGCATCTTAAAAGGATAACGTTTCTACTGCTATATGTACAAGTTATAAAAGTACAAGTAGCTATATGTACAAGTAATTATAAAACAAATAGTGTCTTATAATTAAGAGTTGCCAGGATTACGTTAAATACAATGTAGCCGCGATCAAAACAACTGTGGTGAGGCGTACACGAGAAAGCGAGAGTGTGCCTACACGAAGAGAAAGTTTTACTGAAGAAGAGCTCTGGTCGAACCGGCCAGCGTCAGCACCTTGCATGACGCCTTATTACGATCATTATATTCTTTGTATAACCATCACACGCCATCGTTGCTCAGATTACCTTCGGATTACATCATTAATAGACGTTACGTTGCGTCTCGTCAATGTGGTGATGCGTTGCAAAAGTGAGCATGTTGTCTGAGCCACGCGTGTAATGATAGATCAAATTTGCATCACGGTAATGACGCATTTTACCCTGAAAAACATTTAATTCGTTAAAACAAACAAAAAAAAACTCGAATTTTCATCACTTTATACTTTCATTATACTTCAATATTCCGCACTGAAACTATCTTCCCGTATATTACTCTTCACATTATGGTTCATGTATCCTAAAGTCAATGCTCTGTGGTGGCAACCTTTGACCTGCTATCGTCCTTATCTTTGAATTGCTCCTTAATAACGTGTGAATGTGTCGGTGATAAACCAGTTTATTGTCGATGAAGCAACTTGCATGTTCAACAGGAGCGCATTAGAACATAAAAGATGGAATCATATCGGAAATTAGTTTAATTGTGTATTACAGGACGAATTTGTCCATGCGTAAAGTAAATGTTTATTTCAACTAAATCACGATTTGCCTAAACAAACGATATTAATTTTCGATTTTATAGATAAATTTATTGGAAATCTACCTTCTTGAATGATATTTGGGCAATGTTTGAAAAGTTATTGATTAAGTTTTCACTATAATTATACAATTGTTGTATTAAAGCACAGAATTGTAAAACAAGCAGGATTTTTTATTGCCGATTCCACTATTCATCAGCCGGGTTTATGTACTAGGACTATTTTTCACAATAAGTTGCTAGACTTGCAGTACGATTCAGCATGACAGTTCAGAGTACATACAAAAACAAGTACTACCGATTTTTGTTAATAATTCGAAAAATTCAATGTCTAGTTCAGGTGTAGTAAAATATGCTACATTATTCAACCCTTTTAGTAGCAAGTTGTACTAAACAAAGTTGTGTGACTTCAATGTAGCCTTTTAGACTTTGATTATGTAAATTTATTTTTTGATTATGTAAATTTATTTAGCTTTGAGATCTTCGTGTTAGAATTAATCCTGTTTTTTTTTTTAAATTAGATATTCTTGGAATCGAAACAGTGCCTGGGATGCAGCGTTTATGAGCTAAAAATTCTTGGAAGTAATTACCTGCGCTCTAACGCAAAGGGATTATAAGCTCCTTCACTGTTGCCTTAAACCTGACATTTAATATTCTAAGTTCAACTGCCTTCTTAGTATGATCCACTACGAAACACGTTTGCTAATGCTGCTATCTCGTATTACTGTTGCTAATATTATATATTATAATACAATGATACCGGTACTACACTTATTATTTTTATAGACCATTGATGCTCATTTCGCTGACGAACAATCGAGTGTCGCAACGAGGCGCGGTGGCTCTATGTTATAGACTTATATAATTAATACATGTTCGGCTCGCCGAGTTGCGAGTTTTGATGGCGGGAATTAAATTAATGTCTCATTTTATTGCCACGCATCTGGTCGTAACTTTGTAGATATAATATCAATTCAATTTTGTTGTACACCACTAATTTTTTTTCGACTGAGATATTATTGATGTTGATTTGTGTAATTATTTTTGTACGCATCGTTAATTAATTCGTTGATTCGTGGCTTGAAAGTGCTGATTCGATTTAAATACTGCATTATATTTTTCTGACTCGTTTCCAATGACTCAATGCATGAATTACCGGAGTTGACGAAAAGATCTTTAAAAATTTTTCAGAATTTACTAAGAAGCCCGATCCGACAGATTTATGTTTCGTTGTTTTCAAGGTTGCATCACTCTGATTTTAGAAAGAAGTTATGTGACACAAGAAAATGTATGGCATCTAAGAAATTTTTTTTAAAATCTTACGTGAAAGCAAGTGGTCTGAGATTTTTTCCACAAAGTTTGTTGATATGCAAGTGAACTAAAAAAATATATATTTTTTATTCAAATTTCGCGGTATTCTTACTAGTTTTTTGTTTACTTGTAAATCTTGGTTTTCAACAGGCGGGTGATGAGCTGCTGGAGGTCAACGGCAGAACTGTCAACGGAGCTGTCCATCGTCAGGTGACAGACACCATCGGTTCCTCCACGACCGTCACGCTGCTGCTGCGGGAGACGGGCATCATACCTGTCAAAGAGTGAGTGCGGACGCTTCTTACTATATCGCATCTCTTAACTTTTTTTTATTTTTTCGAAGCTTTTGAGTTACTTAGTTTCTCCGAAAAAATAAAAATAAAAAAGGTAGGAGATTTACTTGAGTTACGCAGTTGCCCTAATAAAATTCCACGAAAAGGGTTCAAATATGAGAGCTCTTTGGCGCTCTTGAGTGATGTATCTAGTAAGTGTACACTTTAAATGAAAAAGATCGATGCAAATCCGCTAAAGAAATTCAAACATATTTTTACAAATATTTGTAGTAACTGGCACGCTTTTGTCATTGAGTTCACAGATATCGTCAGATGATAAAGGGTTAAATATGATGTCTTCCGTTATTTTAATTGGAATATTAAATAAACAACTCACTTCGAAAATGAGTTAAGAAAACTGAGCCCTTTTCTACTCTATTTCTTTTATTTCACTTGCAACTTGAATGTTTTAATTCACTAAAAATTATATTTTCAGGCACACTAGCGATCCCGTCACCTGGCGCCCGGTGGTGAGGTCCCCCACAGGGGCCTCCTACAGCAGCGTGCCGCGCAGCACCGGAGGACACTCTTTGGGCGCCAAGTCCAACAAAGGGCTCTTGGCCAACATCAACGTGGCCCATGCTCCTCATGGACACAACACTAAACTTGGGCAAACTGGCTCACTGAACCGAGTAACTAAAACCTCGCCAATTCTTTTGTCCAACGGTCCACTAACTCGGATACCAAACGGGCCAGTTGGCCATGTGTCTGACGGATCACTTGTACGCGTAGGCAATGGTCCGATGGTTCACCCCACCAATGGTCCTCATGTTCAAGGAATTTACGCTTCCCCTGGCCGTATACCTGACGGTTCCCCCAGGATTTTAAGCGGTTTCCCGTGTACAAATAACGGCAATGGCAACAGAGGAGCGTCACCCATGGGTCACCCCTCAAAAGCTAGTCACCGGGAGACTGGGGAGGTCATCGAGAGAGTCCTGAGTGTCGTCATCTCCACGGCAGGAAGAAACAGTCTTGGGTTTAGGTGAGGAATAATTAAACTTAAACTTGGGTATATAGTCTAAGTTATTTTCCCTTTCATGAATGTTTCTTCTCTGAAATGTTTTACTTATTTTCTCTTTTCTGAATGTTTCTTCTCTGAAATGTTTTTTTACGATGATTAGTACTAGTTTTTCTCACAGTTTTTTTTTAATTCTCGTCATCTAAGTCATGATAATTTATAAAAATATAAATTGATAACTGTCAGGAAATGATGACAGTTCTGAGAGTACAAGTACGGTGGCCAAAGATTCACTAAACCAAATGAAATTGCACCTCATTGCTTACTGAAAATTTTCATAGAAGTTTAGCCTTTTTTACACCTTTAAAATTTAGTATTAAATTATTCATGAAGACTTGGTGCTAAAATATATTGAACATATTTTTGAATGGCGCTGCTCACTTTTAATTTCGGATTATTTCTTCGTTTTCAACTTGGGTTTGGAACTTGAAATAATTTTTTAGAATTTTTTTTTGGAATTCTATTAAAATTAAATTTTGCAAACATAGCCTGGTTCATGATGAGCAATAATAAATGTCGCCCGATCAAATTTTTTCGTGTTTCTTTCTGTAATTACGATAATTAAATTGAACTACTACGTGGAAATGCTTGTTGATTATCACAATTGATAGTAGCTATTTTTACCAATTAAAGAATAACATATTATATTATGTTATATTATATTATATTACATTATATTATATTATATTATGTTATTATATTATATTATATTATATTATGTTATATTATATTATATTATATTATATTAAATAAGTAAATTTACCTAGTTATCATTTTGATTCGTACGTTCAGCATGACGCACGACAATGGCGTGGCTGTGGTGGCTACCGTGCGTCGTGGCGGCGCAGCATGGATGGCTGGCCTGCGTCAGCACGACGCAATACTTGCGTGTAATGGAAGACGCATGTCTTCCTTGACGCATGAACAGGTAAACTTTTGCGTAGCTTAAAATGCTTTTTTTTTTCAACAATCCTCGTCATAATTTATCGGCTACTTAACGAAGAAATTTTTCATTGAATCTTTCGCAAGGTTTTTAGATTTCATGCTTCATGACAACTTATTGGGAAGAATAACATATTTTTTTATTTGTGTGAACGAACAATTATTTTAATGGCCACTCAATGAAAAAGTTTATCCTCCGACCTTATATCAGTTTATGTATTCAGAAAAAATTATTTTCGAACAATTACGTGTAAATTTTATTTGTATGAGTGCAACCAAAATGACGCCATTACTGTATACTGTATACATTACTGTATACTGTATACATTACTGTATACTGTATACATTACTGTATACTGCATACATTACTGTACACTGTATACATTACTGTATACTGTATACATTACTCTCTACTGTATACATGTATACTGTATACATTACTGTATACTGTATACGTTACTATCTACTGTATACATGTATACATTACTATCTACTGTATACATGTATACTGTATACAGTACTGTATACTGTATACATGTATACTGTATACATTACTATCTACTGTATACATTACTGTCTACTGTATCCATTACTGTATACTGTATAAGTATTACTGTATGCTCCAGGCGGTGGCTGAGATGAAGAGCAGTGTAGACAGCATCAGGCTGGAGGTGCAGCGCCGTGTGGTGAAGAGTGACCTCCTCACTGGGGAGTCCTCAGGGTACAACTCCTCTGCCTCCTCCACCACGGGGGACCACCACTCGTCCCCCACCACCCACGCGTCCTCTAACCCCCGCCGACGCCGCATCTCTAGGGGGGTCAGAGACCCTGTCTCGTCAAGGTGACCACCATTTATAAACAATTTAATTTAATTTGAGCTAAATTAGAAACATTATATGTAAGTGATAATGTAGAATCAGCTCATTTTTAGCGCATTTTCTCATTTATGGAAAAAATGCACTATTGTGCTCGCCATGTCCGTCCGTCCGTCCGTCTGTCCGTCCGTCCGTCTGTCTGTCCGTCCGTCTGTCTGTCCGTCCGTGACTTCACGTTTTCGACGACGAGAAAATGCGCTCTCTGTCACTCACTGCAGTGAGTACTGAGTTATATTTTTATAAACTTTGTTACTCTTCTAGACTGAAATTTGACAATAATTTAATCGCTAAATGTAATCAAGTTTAGGTTTCCATCGTATTGTTTCCTTTCATTAAACTTTGCTTATTTCTCTACAGAAGTATATTCCCTCGTTTGCTTTAAAATTCTTTCCTTTAAGCGTGATAATATCTGCACTCGATGTAAAATTTTTATGGCTGTAATAAATGCGTGTACTTATGGGTTCGTTGGCTGCAGTATTATATGTCATTCTTCATAAGTCATTATCATTAGTCGTTGCGTATAATCATGGGTTTGGCTGATCGTTGGCTACAGTACTATACTCCTTTCCATATGATGCATACATAGAATGCATATAATCATGGGTTTGGCTGATCATTAGCTGCAATATTATAATCAATTCTTCATAAGTCATCATTCGATGCGTAGGTTTGGCTGGTCGTTGGCTGCATCTGGCGGACGTTCAGAACAAGAGAAACGGAATCGATGATCACACTCTTTAGAGCCCTTGTAATACCAATTCTCGAATACTGCTGCCAGCTCTGGACCCCGTTCACACTCGGCGCAGTGCGGCAACTGGAAGGTGTCCAGCGAACCTTCACTTCCACGATCAGAGGGATGGAAGAGTTGAACTACTGGGAGAGGATGAGGCGCCTGGGTCTGTACTCACTGCAGAGGAGACGGGAGAGGTATGTCATTCTGTACACATGGAAAATGATAACCGGAATGGTGCCAAGCTTCGAGAGCGAGACCTTCAGGATTCAGACATATCACAACGAGAGAAGGGGGAGACTGTGCAAGATCCCCCATTACGAAACAGATCCGCAGTCAGATTTCAATCCCTGCGGGAAGGATCACTTTCCATGGCAGGGCCAAGGCTGTTCAACGTCCAACCAAAGGATCTAAGAGAGGGGGAGTTCACCCTGGAGACCTTCAAGAGACAACTGGACATTTTCCTGGGCACAATCAAAGATAGACCTCCACTGCAACACTACCAGCGGCGAGAAGCAAGCAACAGCATCGTGCATCAGGTGGCCCAAATGAGGGCGGATGAACGATAACCAGAAGCGGCGATCCATCGTGGTCTGGGACTGCTATGTCCCAAACAAGTACCAAGATTACCAAGATGATTAAAGAAATCTTTTGTGAGAGCAACATTGAGCAGTGTGGCTAATCGGTTATGCGTAGTTCTTTTTGGGTTATGTGTGGTTCTTTTTCTGTTATGCGTCGTTATTTTCGGTTTTGCGTCGTTCTCATTCGGTTATGCCATTATGCGTAATCGAAAACGTCCGTAAGCATTGAGATCAATCATACTAACGAAATGAATGTAACAAATAAAATCCATTAAACACTATTTTGGCCGATGTTCTAGAATTTTACGTACTCCAATGCCGAGCTAAAAGAAACTCCAGAAGAATTTCTGTAAAAAAGTAAAAATGCATTTTTTAATTTCATCTCTTGTTATTTTACTAACTTTTTGCCTCCAATGTTTTCCCCTCTCACCTGATCTCGTTGTACGACTAATTTGATTTTCATAATTTTTCTCATAATTACTTGTATTCGAAACATTACTTCAGCGGTAAATTTATCTTGTTAGTTAACCTGGTATTCCGTTCCGCTTATTATACTCACGTGCAGCTCTATATCACGGAGCATTTGAAACTTAAATCCATCGCTTATGTTGGATTGCTGATTCCCAGTGCGTAAGGTGTAATGATCATTCCGAGCGTTTAAGTTGTCTTTCTCATTGTAATTAAAAAGTAATTGTAATTGCCAATATATTATATTGCTCGCAGATGTATTGTATTGCCCGCCAGTATATTGTATTACTCGCCAATATATTGTATAGTTCGCATATAAATTCTATTGCTGGCAATATATTGTACTGCCCGCCAATATATTGTACTGCCCGCCATTATATTGTACTGCCCGCCATTATATTGTACTGCTCGCCATTATATTGTACTGCTTGCCAATATATTGTACTGCCCGCCATTATATTGTACTGCCCGCCATTATATTGTACTGCTCGCCAATATATTGTACTGCCCGCCA